CAAACTGAACAACGTAATGCCTGAGGAAGAGCCCCCACTATTTGCAACAAAAATCGGATTATTGTTTTTATGTTTATGAAGAATTATTTGCAAAGAGGAAGACAGTGCTTATTCTCAGAGGACTTTTAGAGAGGAAGGTTTTATTGGTTCTGTAATAACTAAAATTTATGTGATCTGTTCTGGGCCACACAACCTCCAATCCAGAACCGGAGATTTCATTCCTGTGTGGTTAAAAAGCGTCACCCAGACAATAAAAAGAATAGCTTAAATAATCAATCCAAGTTTTCCATTTGTTCTCATACATTAAAATGATTTTACAAGTTCTTCCAAGCTGGACTTCAACTGCTGTATGTTTAAAGCATGTCTTTCCCAAATAAAAGGCAGCGTGTAGGTATTAACTAGTCCTTCCTCTGCCATGTTCTCGGAAACTTCTTTTGAATCTTAAAGAACTTAGATCAGATATTTTCACTAATACTTATTAACACGGGACTTCTTTTACTTTCTTTTAAAGCAGGGTTTTTTTGGACATAAATGCCTATTTTGAACAGGAGATGATACTATCAGGACAGTATTGGCCAGTAGCCATGAACCTGCTGTTAAGAGGGACACTGTTTCTTGCAGGAGGGCCTATTTTAACACTACTTCTTACAACACCCAAAAAAAAATTAAAAATGCACCTTATGGATGCGTTCCGAAAATAAACCCGGTCTATCTGAGACACAACAGCATCAATTCAGGTGTCTGAAAAATGCAGAGGTTGGTGTTTTGGAGGACGCTGCTGCCAAAGGAGCAGTCTGCAGGGGTGTGTGAAGCTGCGCTGCAGGAGCAGTCGACACAGCACCCATCGCCACCCGCTCGCTTGCCACCAACGCGGGGCTGGCGGCGGCTTTCACTGTCCGCCAGAGAGCGGCCACCTTCTGCACCACACGCGTCCTTGCGGAGCACGGGCTGCTGTGGGCATCTCCAGCTCTTTCTGGAAGCGGGACCACGTCCACCTGCCCCTCTCCTGTTCCCTCTCTGCCTTTTTGCTGTGCTGACAACGGCGCAGTGCTGCATTCGACCGACGCTGACCCCCCCGCAAAGTCCTCACACGGAGTTTAGCGTGTGTAGTACTGTGCTTGCAGAGCCCCATCGAGCGATTCTTCTGTCACTGCTCGAAGCACGGCAAGTGGAAAGGCAGCCGGGAGGGTGGAAGGCCAGGAGAAAGCAGCCTCTTGTCAGCTGGTGTTGGGGTTGCCCGGCAGCAGGAGTCCTTGCTTAAGAGAAATGCTAATAAAAAAATACAAGTCTGCCTGGCAATTCTTCTTTTAACCTGGCACCTATCATCTGCAATGCAGCTGTGGGGCAAAATTCTGTCTTCTCTTAATTTAGTTCCGCTAAGGATTTCCCCCTCTAATTTCCTAACAGAACTCAGAGGAATTATGAGAAGGCGCAAAAGAGAATATGTGAGTGGTTCTGTAAGTTTGATTAATTTCCTGACTACTCTGAGCTGTATTTCACAGAATTCTTCTAGATCAGCTGCCTTTTAATGGTTTAAATTATCTAAAGTATTATCTAATCATTGCTTGGATAGGGAAAAGCACCAGCTGAAGCTAGGGATGACCTATGAGATATAACAGTATTCATGAAGTGGCTCTGCAACCTTCGGAGCCAGCAAAATAAAGCATTTTTTCTGATCCCAAATGCTGTAGACCCTCTGCACTGAATCAGAGCCCAGCACGGATTTTAGGTTTCGAGGCCTTACCACCACAAACTCATAAGTAACTTTTTTCCTCCAAGGCTTTGCTATGCTTCCTTGTACAGATTATTAAACCGAGAGCAGAAGACATTACTTCTAGCTCCTTTGTTTGTTACAAAGACCCACAGAACACTGAGCTTTAGGAGAGATGATCCAAGACACTCTCAGAACGTCTCCAAGTGACAATGGACAGTGAATGCCTATAGCAGAAGAACAGCAAACTAATCAGCTTAGCAGAAATTATACAGCAGAAAGAAACTACGCTTAAGTAAGAATTTGTTAAAACTGTCACATTCGGACATCTCTGAAATGAGAAATCAGTCACGCTCTCCAACCAATGACTGCTCCAGTTACATTCTGGACAGTAAAATTAACACAACTTTTAAGCCTGTACCAGGCCAAACAAAACCAAAACCTCATTGCCTTGTTCTAGTCTTGCAGGCGCTTGCTGCGAGTGATCGCCCAAGGACCATGTACTCGGGGAACCCATTTCTGCATGACTGCAATACCCCTCTCCCTTGGGTGCCGTCCTCCCCGCAGAGACCTGAAGAAGAGGGACCCGATGGACCCCCTCAGGCCCCCACCCCTTTCCAAATACCAAAAAGCTCTCCTGACTGCCGGTGCTGTACAGAAACACTTCTCCTGTCTCAGGTTCCCTCCCCGCAGAGCCACATGTCTGACATCACCAATTAAGGCAGGAATTCAGAGCTGCCAGCTGTGGGCTTCTACAATTTCACATACTAGACCAGAATCTCATCAGATGAGTAACTCTGGGTGAAAACAGTGCTGTCTTCTTTCGCCATGACATCTTCATGCTTTTGATTATAAAGAACTGGGGTTGGTGTGGCTGCCAAGCTGTTGTGAAAAATGCATAGCTGTGCCACTGTAAATAAAGTGACTGCTCCATACCCATGACCCCGTGCGCTTCCTTAACACACAGGCTGGTGGCACTTAAATCTTGCCTCCCAGTGATGATGAGAAGCCTGCCCAAAGTGAGCGAGCAGTCCCCTGGATACCACTGTCTCAGCAGAACGGCAGAACACAGCCCTACACATTGCAGACTCAAATTGTAGGGTACACAGCAATGACCTTTCCAAACCAGTCCTCTCCCCTGAAAAGGGGTGAGTTATACCTGTATGATTCTAAAAATATTTTTAAACTATTTATTCACGAGAATATGACAGCCCAGATTTCTCTGGCTCGGTTCGCTGAAGTGACACTCAGCATCCCCAAAAGGGGCCAAGGCAAGAGACTCAACCCTGAGCCCCACTCGTTGGTGGAGCTGGGCTCCGGCAGCTGCAGCCTCTGGTTTCTCCCCTACCACAACCCTGA